TCTTATCTTAATGTCAATAAATACCTGCAACCGCTATGTTAGATCTCGCCCGAGCAGTTGCTAAAACTAATGACATGAGGAATGTCTTTCCAGTTCCACCTAGGGCATCTAGGAAATATAAACCCACATTTTCATCATCGATTGCCTTCATTAAAGTATCATAAACTTCCTTTTGTTGGTAATTCAACAGGGGTACATTCGTTTGAACTACTAAATCTTATTCCTGGTGATCATATTCACGTTCCCGTTTCATTTCTCGATTAAATTCGTCATTCCTTTCACGACATGGTGCTGGCATTCCTAACCTGATTAATAAAGTACCGCACATGAGGTATGTTCGATATGTTCGATAAAAACTAAAGCACGATTATTTATCACGTACCTAACACGACTTTCTTTTATATTATATATATAGATTATTAACTTTTGTCACACATTTTGCTGCTCTACCACTGGTTCGCTTGCCTGAGCTTACAGAGTAATCAGAACGAAGGACGTAATTAGGGCATTTTCAATCCCAAGTTCGTGGTCCGGATGCGCCAATTATGAGTTCGGGATCCAAGGTGCTCTGTTGTATGTATATCTTGATTTTAAGTGTTTCAGAAATAAAATGCTGAAATGAAAATACGTCTGATCTGTCGTTTATTATATTTCAAAAGTATAAGCTAAGTGTGTATATAAGTATATGAACGTCTCGGCTTGCTGCTGAGTGCAGTGTTTATGCCGCAAGCTGCAGAGTTATTTCCGCCAACTTTCTTAGTCAGCACTTACGCTAGTCGATGGCTTGTTGCAGCCGGGCAGGCCGTGTCTATGTTGGTGTGAGGGGATAAGGTAACTCAGGCGCAACCTTCTTCAAAATGCGCGACTGAACGACCGAATTGGTGCAATGAATGCGCGAGCATCAAATTGAGAATAAGAATGAGAGCGAAAAAAACCCGAACGCACATGAAGCGTCTTGGTTCTTGACTTTTGGTATGCCTGGATCTGCCACTTCAAGAGTTTCAGATATTTTGATGCTCCCGTTGGCAGTTTGATGGGTAGGTAGGAATTGGAGAAAGTCAGGTGCTAACTTTCGGCAGCTTCAAAGCGCCAGTGAATATCGATGGCATAGAAATGTGGATCGAGTTCCACGTGATTTCAGACGAGGACATGAAGTTTGATGTAATCTCAGGAACAACAATTTTAGAAAACGTCGACATGATGGTTACGAAGAGGGAAACTGTGTTTGCGAGAAGGGTTCAGTGTACGCAGCCACAGGAGGAACAGATAACAGAAAGTTCTTGTGCGCAACTAATGCATGAATTTGATAGCCTTTGTATGTTAATTAACTAGATCATTTAAGTAAAGGTGTCGCTGTAGAAGTAGAGTTGGAGAATTATAAGCTGATAAGAAAATATGTTCGCCAGTGGAGATGAAGATTTCGTTGACAGACGAGTTGCCGGTATTTCAACCAAGGCGTTTGGCCAATTGTGATCAAAACATAGTCGATGACCAGGTGCAGGAATGGCTTAGGAGTGAAATAATCAAGCCAAGGACATCCGAGTTTGCTTCGCAAGTTGTTTTAGTGGATAAGGAGAATGGGTAGAAGCGTTTGACAAATTAAAACAAGCTCTAATCAGTGGGCCCATTTTGAAGCTTTATGACCATTCACTTGAAACAGAAAATCATACCGATGCCTCGAAATTCGGAGCCGTGAAGCTTCAGCGAGACAGGAAGGATAGTTTGTGGCACCCAATTTTCTATATGAGTCCGAAGACCAAACCATGCGAAGAGAAGTATCATTCTTATGAAGTGCTAGCAGTTATTGGAGCTTTGGTAAAGTGGCGAGTTTACGTTCCTGGGAAAAAATTTAAAATAGTCACAGAATGCTATGCTTTTGCCATGACTATGAAGAAAAATGAGATACTGTTTTGTTGTGACGGATAGCTTAATACATCGCTTGCAAAAGGGCACAGCAAACAGATAATTGGACAAAGGCAGTGAAGAGTGTTGTTGAAACCAAAGAGTATGACGATTTCTATATATCGAATGGAATTTTATTCAAGGACCCAAATAAGGAGTGGCTTGTAGTTCCATCGCTGATGGAAGATGAGATAATTCGAAATGCACACAAGCAAGGTAATTTTTCATCCAAAAAGACTCAGGAGTTGATTGAAAAGTCATATTATATCCCCAAAGTGAAGGAAAAGATAGCAAGAATTTTTAAGAGCAGTGTAGAGTGTTTTTTGGTGAATGCGAAAGCTGGGAATAGACCAAGTTGGCCCGATGGAGTTAACCAAAAAGCGTTATAACCACATCCTCGTTATAGTTGATGCTTTTTCTAAGTTTGAAGAAATACTGAGTTACTTGGAGCGTCAATCAGTTCTTTTCGGTAGCCCATAAAGAATCGTATCTGCTGGTATAAGCAAGTCGGCAGGGTACAAAAAAGACGATGAAAAAGACTGAGCCAAGGAGTACAAAGGTTTCTCCGTTCAAGTTGCTAACAGGCCTTGTGTGCAGTTTTGTCATCGCTAGTTTCTGGCGAGAGAGCCGTGAGATTAGGAAAAAAACTGCACATGTTCGAGTTGGTCACACAGAGAAGTACTTGGAATTGGAAAGAAGACACCCGTGAATTTGATCCGCGAATATAACTTGAATTGTATCCTAAGTGCACAATATATAACACTATATTTCAGTATAAACCCCAATCTTTTTCATTGTTTCCCTCTTCAGTCAAACACAAACATATGGTGACCATGAGGGGAACTGAAAGTCTGAACGTCGCGCTTAGAACAACCACACGCCAGCATATAATATCTAATATGTGCGTTTAATTCATTCAAGATTATATTTAAATTCATCCAACGTAACCGTGCAAAATCCGGACACAATTAAAACAAAGTAAAATATTCTTATTCGGTGTCCAATTTCAACGAAACAAAGGGAGAAGCAACTCGCAAAATCGACAAGTTTTACCGCAAGTTCGCAGCGACCATTCTAACTCCGCGGCACTCAGTCAGAAGCTTGGCAACGGTGCGCAGCTGGTCAGTGGATCTAAAACTGCAAGTCAAACTGTAACAAAGTGTTAAAATGACCGACACTAATGATCTGGATGGTTTAGCCAAACTACACTACGGATCGTCACGAAGCTCTTAAGGCAACTTAAAAGTGTTTCCAGAAGGATGATATGTCACGGAAAACAGTCATTTATTTCCAGAAGCGACTTCAGAAAGTAGATGATTTGGAGGCGAACTTTTTAGAGACACACACAAAGATAGTTTGGCCTCTGAGTTTGAAGAACGCTATTTGGAAGTATATTGCACTATCGACGAAAGCTACAAACAGATTCATGCACCGGAACCACCTCTCGTAACACCCCAGCCAGTGCATAAGGCAGAAGCTGCAATACGTGTTAATTTGCCCCAAATACCTGTACCCAAGTTCTCGGGTAACATCATCGAATGGCCCGCGTTTTACGACGCAACAACTAAGTAATAGTCAAAGATTTTCTAAAAGATTCCCCTGGCGCAGGTCGCGATTGCGACATCCAACAGGCTCAGCCAATTATCAGGTGGCATGGTCGACGCTCATTAAGCTCTATAATAACCCACGTATCGTATTTCCACACCACATGAATGGATTGTATAACTTGTCGACCATACATAAGGAGAAGACGGAAGATCAACGATCTCTGTTGAGTACCGTAAACGTCTGCACGTGAGCACTTCAGCGCATCAGTGGAATGGCCAAAGAACCCACTCATTGGCTCGCTCACTATGTGTCTACAAAATTTCCGAAGGAGACGCATGCGGCAACACAGAGGTGCCATAATTCCTCAAACTGGAGCAGTTCCTAAATGATCGTCACGATCGATGCTATTGAAAACTGAAACGCCTCGTTTGCGCAACAGGTTCGTCCGTCCACGGACTCCACTAGACGTATCCAATCTCTCAATGCGCAAGCGCGGGTTCCCAGCAACCTTCGTTGCGTGCATTGCGGGAGGTGCCCCGAATTTCTGCCCATGGACTCTTATCAGCGAAAGGAGTTAGCAATCCGGTTTAAACAGTGTCCTAACTGTTTGGGAACCTCACACACGCACTCACGGTGCACAAGTACGCGGAACTGTCAGCAATGTGGTCAGCGTCACCATACGCTCCTGCACCACCCACAGCGTCCGCCACACACACAAGAAACCCAGTCTACACCTGTAACAAACGGCATCCAGCCTGCATTCAACGCAGCACAAACTCCACAGTTCAGCAACTCCAGCCTGAACTGTCTCACTGCAGTTTCTTCTAACGCACCAATACGGAGCATTTTACTAGCGACCGCCCGAGTCCATATCACCAATCCAAAAACCGGACAAGAAGCCACGATCAACGCCCTACTGGATCATGGATCCGAAGCAACCCTAATCTCGGAACATACAGTCCAATCGCTAAGTCTTAAGAAGGTTTCCACGCGCACCACGATTGGAAATGAAGCAAGTAAGACTCAGCAGTGCAAGGGCACCGTTAGCTTCAGCATTCGTCCACCGAGCAGCAGCTCACCCAGTTTAGAAGTCAGAGCTGCCTATGCCCTAAATTCCTCAAAAAGCATTTTTGCCGGCCATAGCATCCCTTCTCGGAACTGGGAACATCTCACTGGCCTTGCGCTAGCAATTCTACCGCTCCAAACGAATCGACCTAATAAACGGAGCAGATTTGTTGTCTCAAATATTTCTGCCAGGCCTGCGAACCGGGTCAGCAGGCGAGCCCATGGCACAAAACACAATCTTCGGATGGGTCCTGTTCTGACAAGCAGGATCTGCCGAGCCCAACCAACAACCGCATTGTCATCACACCGCAATAGATACAGAACATCTATTAAAACAGTTTTGCGAAATAGAAGCAGTTCCTGAACGCCATCCTGTCTCCACTGAAGAGTCTTGGTGCGAAGAATTCTTTAAAGAAACCCACCCGCGCCTAGAGAGTGGACGTTATGAAGTCAGATTGCCGTTCAAAACACTTTTCGACCCAGAAATGACCATCGGACGATCACATCAGATGGACCTAAACAGATTCCTACTCCTGGAGTTAGGCCAGATAACGCAAGCGAAGAGTACCGAGCGACAGAACACCCAAGTAAACGCTAGCAATATATCGGTATCCTCTTGTGTTCTTCCACATCACACGGTTATCAAACATAGGATCGTGTTTGACGCATCCGCCAAGACTTCCAATGGTCGGTCGCTTAACGACATTCTGTGTGTGGGACGAGCATTGCATAGCCTGGCTGCAGTTATTCTGAATTGGAGAAAATATCCATATGCATTCACAGCAGACATCCAAAAGATGTATCGATGAATAAACGTACATCACGACGACCACCAGTACCAACGGATCCTTTGGAGGGCAGCCGACGGCGAAATCAACGACTATTGTCTCACAACGGTAACTTTCGACAGAGCATCCACTCCGTTTACAGCGATTCGAGTGCTACATCAAATTGGCGAAGACTAAATTATAAGATATCCGAGGGCGAAAAATGTCCTGAAGCACGAGGTGTACGTCGATGATATGCTTACCAGGGACTATACAGTTGAGGCAGCAAAGCTGGTACGATGGGTATTGGAAAATAATACATGGACCAATGAGCCCATCGCAGTATTTTACTGGACGGATGCGACGATCGTCTTACATTGGATAAATGGGGACCCAAACCGTTGGAAAACATTCGTGGCGAACAGGGTGGCATATATCCATGCACACTCAAACCCACACCAATGGAGACACGTGAGCACCAACGATAATCCTGCCGATCTTGCCACACGCGGGAGAAGTCCTAAGGAGCTTTCTACATCGTCCCTGTGGTGGAAGGGCGACAATGATTGGCCTACCAATTCCATCCCACCAATCGAAACAAGTATTCTAGAAGCCAAACCAGACAAGATCAACATCCACATGCTCGTCAAGGAAGACAGCATTCTCAACCGCGATTCAACCTTTAGCCGTCTTATCTGCATAACCGCCTAAATTCTCAGGTTTAGTATAAACTGAACTCAATGACGCCCTACTGTGCATAGTTCGATTGGTTCGAGCTGAATCGTTTACAGCGGACCTAAAAGCAATTCACTCTTCCAAACCACTTCCGAAGCTAAGCAAACTGCGAAATCTAAACCCATTTATCGAAGATAACGTTCTTTGCGTCCCTAACCGCTTAAGTCACGCGCATTTATGGTTCAATCGTAAACATCCGATAATCTTACCAGCACAACAATCATTCACAGATCTTGTCATTAAGGATGCGCATCATGCCACGCTTCATGGAGGAGTTCAGCTGACATTAACGCAAACACGTTTACGATTTTGGATTGTGAACGGACGCGTAACTACCAGACGGATGATTCGAGGATGCAAGCAATGTTTTCATGCTTGCCAAACAGCTGGCATGCAACTCATGGGGAATTTACCAACACATCAAATCAACCCGCCATGTCGTCCCTTTTGGGCTACCGGCATCGACTACACCGCAGCCATTGAACTCAAGGCTGCCCGACTGAGAGGAACAGCAACGTATAAGGGTTATATCGTCATATACATCGGACTCCAAACTCACCGGACTAACATCGGATCATTTTATTTGGGCACTGGATCGGTTCATAGGACGACGCGGACTATGTCGTCACATATATAGCGACAATGGCACCAATTTTCTGGGCGCGGACAAAGCACTCCTGAATGAGCACCACCAGAATGTAGAGCCCCATCAACTAAGTTTAAAGAAAACTTTCTCAACCTTCCATGGATTCTGGAAGAAATGGACTCAGAATTGGCTTGCCCATTTGCAGAAACGGGCAAAATGGTGTGAAGTCACAGAAAATCTGAAACTTAATGACCTAGTAATTCTAAAGGATGTCGAGACTCCGCCTGCTCAATGGAAGTTAGGGCGGATCATTCAGTTACATCCCGGCTAGGATGAACTCGTACGGGTCGTAACCATCAACACTTAAAATGCAACATTTAATCGGGCAATTAGCAAGATATGCCGTTTACCACTACCTCATTAACTCTGTCTAATCCTGTTATATACATTCCGAATAATCTTACATCTTACAGCGCTGACTCAATAAGAATCATATTATGTTACGTCGAGCATTGCCGGGCGGCATGTGCAGTTTTGTCATCGCTAGTTTCTGGCGAGAGAGCCGTGAGAGTAGGAAAAAAACTGCATATGTTCGAGTTGGTCACACAGAGAAGTACTTGGAATTGTAAAGAAGACACCCGTGAATCCGAGAATATAACTTGAATTGTATCCTAAGTGCACAATATATAACAATATATTTTAGTATAAATCCCAATCTTTTTCATTGTTTGCTTCTTCAGTCAAACACAAACACCTTGAAATGCGTGTTTCCAGCAATGCAGAGTTAAATACATTGATTGAAGAGTCTTAGATTTCCGAGCTAGACGAAGAAAGAGAGAAGTTGCGAGGGAAAGCAAGGCAATATTCAGGATTTTTAAATAGTAAATTTGAGATTGACGATTTAGTAGCTATTAAACGTACCCAATACGGAACAGACTTGAAGTTAAAAGGAAAGTACTTAGAGCCTTATAAAGTAGTCAAGATCAATAATCAGTAGGATAAGGAGAAGGCCCATATATAACTATGACAGTTACAGAATATATTAATATACCGAAAAGGAAGTAATCAACTGCAGAAAATAATGTCTGGCAACTACTTGCAGAGTCAGTCGCCGCCAGAATCTCATCTCGATCGGACGTTTTGCACAATTAAAGAAGTTTTGTTAAATTTAAGCTACAACTTGAATGGAATAAACCATATCAATAATTTAAAGCCGGTCTTACAACTTTATTGAAAAGAGGACACTGCATTCATAAAAATATATACAATAAAATACAAAATAACAATATTAAATAAATCGACACATTTCTACCAAGTCATATATAAATCTTTGATTACATTATGAGCCATTTGTAGTAACAAGCTAAATTTAAAAAAACTAAAGATCAATTATATGTAAACAATGTATGTATGGCCCACTGTAAAACCAGCGGTCCAAATTTTGAAGCAACGACTATTTTGGAACAAGAACAACATTACAAAAAACGCTTCACCATAGAAATGTTACATACATATAACAAACACACCTACAAGCATAAGACTAAACTACAAAACAGACGTTGAAAATTGCGCTCACATTTACAGACACTTACTTAATAACAACTAGTATTAATCTCCACGTCCGACGGTGCAGACGTGTAAAATTATGTAGGTGTACTAATTTTTAAAGCTTTGTTTTTTATTGTCTAAATTTATGTTATTTTATGTGTTTATGTTGATTATAGTTGCCCTGAAGACGATTGCCGAAGTGCAACTGAAATATATTGGAAAGAACAAAAAATAAAATTTAAAAACTTTTATTTAAAAAATTTTTCAATTGTTGACCTCGAGCCGGAAAAACTCAAAAAATTTAAACATACATCAAAGGTCGCCTACAAACAAAATTAAAAAAATAAAAAAAAATAAACATTAAATATTTATAAAGCGTAAATTAGAGATAAGTTAATAATTATAAAATAATTAATTAATATTTAAACATTCACGATTTATTTTTTCAATACCCTCCGCTACAAAATGTATCGTAGATGTTTAATTTAAATTATTTATATTATTTTATTTATTAATTTTTTTTTTTCGCGCGGAGTCTCACTGCCCACTTACCCGCCCAACCGACCGAGGGGCGCAGCCGTGTATTGTACGGCACGATTCGCGAGAAGATAGACGCGAGATAAGAAAATATAGGTAAAAGTCCGAGGAAATAATATATATAATAGAAATAGCAATTTTGTGCCAATGAAGCTAGTATTGGTCGTTTTAGGAGCGGCAGAGAGTCAAGATTTGAGATTATAGGAAAAAGTCTATACTAGTCAGAACATAATACTCTGAAAGGCTCATGCAAGGCATAGTTAGATCTACAATGATTTAAAATTAGGGGAATATAATTTCTAGTTAATCTACTTGGCACAGAAAAGCTTAGCCGACTTACCAAGTCGGGGGAGTCAATATCACCATGTATAAGGTTATACATGAAGACTACTGTCCAAGCATCGTTCTACGGTTGGCTAGGGAGGGCAAATTAATCAACAGAAGGCGCCGTAAAGCAAAATGAAGGAAGTTTTTTTGTACAGATTCAATACGACCAATATGTATCCCGTATTGTGGACTCCAGATAGGAGACCCATACTCCAGAATCGGACGGAGTAGCGAAATAAATAATGTTTTAGTTAAATAAGGATCATCGAATTCTTTTGACCACCTTTTAATAAATCCAAGCACTCCTCTGGCTTTATTAACCATGGACGAAATGTGGTTTGAAAATTTTAGTTTAGGGTCCAAGAGAACGCCAAGATCCTTTACAAGAGTTATTCTATCCAAAGAGCTGCCACTTAATGTGTAAGTCGCGTATATCGGATTGACCCGATAAAAAGTCATCAGCTTGCACTTGGATGCGTTTAAGGTTTGTGATTGTGGATCTACGTTTAATAAATCCGTGTTGACACGTAGAAATGATTGATCTACAAAGGTGCTGCAAATGGGGAGTAATGATTTTTTCAAAAAGCTTAGGAATAGCTGACAACTTAGAAATACCTCTGTAATTACTGGCTTCTAACTTGTTACCTTTTTTGAAAAGAGAAATAACAAATGATTCCTTCCAAATATTTGGAAGTTTCTAGCGCTAAGGTAAACAACTTGTGAAGAGGTTTGCACGCACCCCTGGCGAATAAACAGGCTTAATACGAAGAAGATCCAAAAAAATAGAGCTTTCTGTTAAAGTGGGACAGAATATGAGGTTTGACTTGGATATGGTGTAAGAATAAGGATGTGATGAATAATCTAAAGTAGAGTAAGTCGTTTGAAAAAATAGGGCAAATAAATCGGCTATTGCCTGATCTATGGTTGCCGTCATGTTTTCAAACGACAGCGAGGAAGGAAAAGAATTAGATTTACGCTTGGTGTTAACGAAATTATAAAACTGTTTCGGGTCCTGAGAGAACTGGACCTTACAACGGTTTAAGTAACTATTATAACACTGAGCATTGAATATCTAGTTAAAACAGATTGAGAACCGGTATTTTTATATTTCCTAAAAAGCCTGACTTTAAATTTCTTAAGTGTGTCAACTCTTTGCTAAAACAAGATGATTTATTGGAAATTGACGGATAGTACCTTGGAACACAGGAATAAAAAAATGAGTTTATTGCAGTGTATAAAACATTAACTGCATCGGACATATTATTGCATAAGTAAAGATCAGACCAATTAAAGCCAGAAATTAAATTATTTAGCCTCAGAAAGTCTGCCTTGCGAAAACAATGTATTCCTTTGGATAACTTTTCTGATTTTTCTTCTATAACTCTACCCGTATCAAATGAAAGTTCGGTTGTAGGGTGAAATGGATCTTCAGGTTGCGTGAGTGGTGCTACTCTGGCCAGAAACACACCATCAGGATTTGATACAAAACACAAATTACTTGAGATAAAGATATGTCAAGCAGGCCGTCAATTAAATCATGCTGTGCTATAGGTAGTAAGACATTCGATCCATCCTCAGTGGACCAAGTAACTCCAGGTATATTAAAATCATCTAGAACTACCAACTGATCCCTATCGAAAAGCTTATTTGCAACAGACTTAATTACGGAAAGGTTATTTAAATAATCAGGAAGTTCAGACAGCGGCGGAATATATGAGCAAGTTATGTATATAGAGCTACCAGGAAGCGATAACTATGCACAAATAAATTCAAATTCATTGAATTCATCAAAAAATAATTCCTCAGACGGGAGATTTGAATCAACTCCCCGTCTAGAGGGACGGTCATACCTATACATTGTGTGCTTACCTGGAAAAACTTCGGAGCTAAAGATCTCCGGCTTTAACCAGGTTTCTGAAAACACAATAATATGATATGCAAAGGAAAGGCTATCGGAATACAATTTAGTGAGCTTGCT